AAGGGTGACACAAACATCTTCTTTCTTTTACTGCATTCTTCTTTCATTCACAATTTTGCAGTTTTGGTGAAGAGTCTTCCACGTTCATTTTTCAGCGCACCTGCACTTCCTTCTTCATTTTTTATTCTCATTTTCACCCTTTGGACTTTTTCTTTGAGGGTCTTAGGGTGCAGGGTACAAACAAAGTAAAACGACACAAACTTATGTTCTTCTTTTACTGCAGTCTTCACTGTTTTGCAGTTTAAGTGAAGGGTTTCCCACCTTTGCACATTCTTGTACACTCTTTTCAGCGCACCTGCACATTTTTGTCAGGGTGCAAGGTACGTCTAAGTAAGACCCTCACGACAGATAGGACAACTATCATAAGGATGCRGGCGATGGTAGCAGCCCTCCCGCTGATCTATAGGACGAAAACCATTCAGGTAGGCAACTTCGTCACAGCAGGAACCAGGACGGCTAGCATCGACCATACCTCTGAAGCATGCACGGCAGAGGGCATGCCGGTTGCAGGCCATGACCATTGTAGGGCGTTCACCATCATAGTTAAGTGCACATTCGCTATAGCGCCCGTAGGCACAAATGGGACATACTGCATCTGGATGCAGAGGATGTTCACAATCCAGATACAGGTGGCATCCCTGCCGACATCGGGCCCGAAAAATTATATGGTTGTAGTGATGTCGACAAAGTCGATGCTTTCCACAACCAAGTGTGACTGTGTCAGTGATCTCACAAAGAAGGAGGTCACAAGGTGTTAGTGCAGCATGCGGGGGAATAAAGACTAAAGCAGGCACGACGACAGACATGGAGGTAGGAACGGAGACAGACACAGAAACGGGCATGGAGACAGACACAGAAACGGGCATGGAGACAGACACAGAAACAGGCATGGAGACAGGTGCGGAGGCAGGCACAGAGACAGGTGCAGAGGCGGGGACGGAAGTACACGAGGTACCTATAGGGTCAGTAATCTGCAAGGAGACAGACATAGAAACAGGCACAGAGACAGGTACGGAGGCAGGCACAGAGATAGGCGTAGAGGCGGGCATGGAAGTAAACAAGGTACCCATAGGGTCAATGCCCAAAAGCAGTTGCAGGTTAGGGTAATTACGCACGAGATCACAGATGGCAGTAATAGTTTGCACCATAGCACCGCCATTCCATAATTCCCAAGAACCAGAGGCACGGACAAGAGAGGTGTAGTGGCCAGGAGTATGTAGAATATAGGCACAAACATGCGAACAGTGATCCGGGTCGCCACCCGAAGGGGCACGCTGCATATCAAGCCGACGCCTTATCAAAGCAGTCTCAAAAACACAGACATTGAATCCCCCATGTCGAGTGTAATTACTATCCTGTGGGGGATGCAGAGCCGGGTTATCGCCATATAACTCACGTTCCTGAGCATCAAGATCGGAAGCAATGGCCAAGAAATCAGAGTGAGTATATGGTTCCCGATGATAGGCTTGCAGGCAGATGTTAGTAGCAACGAGGCCACATAGATTCGGTGGAGGCCGCTCGGGCGGATTTTCTACAGAACCTCCTACAGTCCCCTTGCCAAGTTCATCCTCAGATGGTCCCTCGCCATCATCCCTCCCGTTTTGTGTTTGCCGCGTTGCAGAAAGGTCTGCAGTCGAAGAGCGTTGCAGTCGTGGTAAGGATGCTTGGGGCGGCAGAAGACGGGGACGGGATGTTGGGGAGGGCCGTGGTGGGGAAAATGAACGGGTTCTTCTTCGTCCATGAACAGAGATGGAGGAAAGGGGAGTAAGCTGAGGTTGGGAAGTAGGTCGAAGTCGGCGTCTAGGACGGCGAAGTAGGCTTTCTGCAGGAGCAGAACATGATGACGGAGTCTGTGTGGACGAAGTGGTTTGTGGATTAGGAAGAGGGGTAACGGATGGAGACAAAACCAGGGGCGGTAGGAGTGGTGAAGACAGGGGTCGTAGAGTAGTCGGAAGGTGGGTAACAAACGGCGATAAAACCAGGGGAAATAAAGGCGGTGAAGACGGGGGGGATGAAGTCAGGGTGGTGAAGTGGCTGAAGCAGAGACAGGGGGGGCAGTCGTAGGTAAGACCCAAAGAGGGGACTCTGCAGGTGGTAATGCAGGCATGGCCACGGATGCCATGGAGGAACGCACCGAGACCAAGGGTGACACAACAGATGCGGTGGTCGCGGATGCCACGGAGGAACACACCGAGACCAAGGGCGACACAACGACTGCGGTGGCCACGGATGCCATGGAGGAACACACCGAGACCAAGGGCGACACAGCAGCTGCGGGTCGAGTTGCTCCCGCGAAATCAATCGTAGAAGCAACCAAGGCCGATGAGGAAGAGGCTGCGAACCGAAACGGGGCAGCCAGGGTCGCAAACGGCATGGAAAGGGTTACTAAGACTGATGAGGACACAGGTGCGGCAGACGCAGGTAATAAAGAGGAGGTTGAGATAGGTGTGACAGGCGCCGATAATGAAGAGGGGGCTGTGACAGGCGTAGTCCGAGGACAGTGTGTAGATAMCCGAGAAAGSGGGTGATGAATAGACCATCGAAGCATGYTGCGGAACCAGYTGGAGAGGCGGGTCACATGCGCAGGGTACCTGTGTTGACGTTTACGAATATAGGAAGTCCATCCTTTCGCAAGCGTTGTTGGAGAGTGCCCGCGAAAAAGCATGCGGCGTGTGAGCATCGCTGCTGCAGTTTTGAAATCATACCAGTTGTTGCAGACATACTCAAACCTAGTAAGCTGGCCTGTAAACACTCCCGCCGGCTGGTGTGCAGGGACGTTAGATGCAGCACTAGGATAACGAATAACAGGGAAACTCCATTCAGCTGCTTCGTCAAAGACACTCATACGCAGGGAGCCGTCAGGGCGGACTTGGAGGTGTGCACCCAAGAATGTGCAAGAGCCATCAGGCGTTGTGGTCTCCTTCCATTCGAGGCCATAGTCCTCTGACGGTGGTGGCAGATGTCCCCATGAGAGAACATCATCGATCAAGCGGTATGTGAACGCATACCGTTGAGCTGCGCGAAGATCACGCCGCTGGAGGTCATCAACAAATCGAGCCTCATCCCAATACAACGTCAAATTAGCTATCTCCGGACCAGAATTAGTCCCCATCGAGATGCCAATCAACTGATGTCGCAAGGTGCCGTCCCTGTCTCTTATACACATCTAGATGTGTATAAGAGACAGGTGCCGTCCGCTGCATAAAGATAAGTGTTTGTGACAATGAAATGGAGATGTTCAAGAATTTGGGAAACGGTCAAGGTGTTTGGTCCGGTATCAACCGTCCACTCCCCTTGACGGGGCCCTTTAACAATCATGTTAAGGGTAGGAGGATGTGTGCGCCCTTGTGTGTGTTGTTGTAAGGCATATGTATAGGCTTCCTCGACCGCTTTTGAAACATTATGACAAATACGGTCATGAGGAAGATTGGTATACATAGTTGTGAAATCAACAGTGCGAGGAGCATGGTCACGAAGAGAAGAGGAGTTACGTTTGAGATCGAGCATCACCTCCTCAGCGCTTTGCACGATCCAGCACCGTCTCACACCGCTTTGCTGATACAACACATTATCCTTCTCACGGAGAGTTTCAATGACTCCTTGTAGTGCAACGCTGAGGCGGGCAGAAGTGACGGTAGTACTAGGGTTTGTGGGGAGGTCGATGGTGGACTGCATGAACAGATGGCGCAGTTGATCGAGATCGTTGCGGCAGGGAGAGATTATTCCGCTCTGTGACGCCGACAATACTGGGAAGCCCACGGGGCGATTTGTGCGCTTTAAGTGCATAGTACAGATATGGCAGCGTGTCTTTGTGTGTATATCCCCACCGATGATTCCTGAGCGCGTGATGTTCCAGAATATCTATGACAGACTCAAGAGGCACATCATAGGTAGGGCTGTCCAAATGAGCAGAYAGATGAGACAGGTACCAATTTTTACAACAGATTGCTAAGTTATGTGAAGTCTTGTCGACAGGAACAATAGCAAAGTGTTGTTGAAGGTGTCTCAAAGCCCTGTGCACTGAGTGAAGAGAGTGCGGTTGTCGTGTAGTAATATGGGGGGATGAGACGTTGCTTTGGCAACGTGTGGGAACAGTTGAGCGCCATTGCTGCAATTTGCTCAGAGCGGCCGGCCGAAGCTGCTCGGAGACCGACCTCGGGTATTTAGCAATATACTCGTCAAGGCCGACTCTAACAGCCTGAAGCACATCAGCGATTTGTCCATTAAGACGATACTTCGAGCTTTCATATATATGTATATTGCTATTTTCATCCCGTTGTCATATGTGAGGGAGAGAGGCATGATAGAAGTTGGGGAGGAGCAAGTACGTACCTGATCGGGCAGGACTACGAGGCAAGGAGCCAACGGTCGGGCTACGGTGGCAATTTGCCTAATGATCGATGACTATTCAGTGAACCAAACTAACAATGAGATTCAAGCTGAAAGGGAAGAGGACCGATCAGATTGGAAACTGAGTGGTAAGTCGTAAGGCCGGCCTACGTAACGGCACGTACGGGAAAGGATTGTGTAGGTACGTTCCCAAATAACTTATGTGCAAGCTTCCCCTTGCTCTGCACACGGACGGTCTGCCCAGCTCGTGCCTATTTGAAACTGTAGGTTTACAGACTCGTGATAGAATAGAGTAATCGCGGTAAGATAGTCATGTTCTACGAGGGTGAGTGATGGCTGGATACGGGGGGATAGAAGTGCGTAGGCAGGAGTGACAGAGTGGAGAAGAGAGAGTCAGAGGAGCCGCCTTTAGTGATCTGCGTGTACAGCCGGACAATTACAACGATGTCTGACTACAACTATGCCTTGACCACTGCTATGTTTGGTTGCTGGTAAAGGTTGGATTGTTGGTGCGCCCTGTTCGTCTGTAGAATTGTTGCCTTTACAGTTGAGGTTGACATTGATGCTACCAGAACGGTGCATCGGTGGAGAAGATGCTATCAGGAAGGGTCGTCGCTGATGAGGCCAACGCCGTCCTACCAAGCCTGGCACTGAAGCTGTCATTACCAGTGCGGTGCTGTGTATTTTCGGGACTGCTCATTGTTGCACGCTTCTCTGTGGATGATTGGGCGATTTTTATAGTGGTGTGCGCGTGGTGTGTGGGATGCGTCCTAGTCGACCGGCGACGAGTCGCGCTTGGGCCTTCAGGCCCCCAAGATGTCGGTTCGCGTGTCGGTCCGATAGAGGCGTACTACCGCGCGTACCCCCTATGCTACAGCGAACGAGAAACGCCCTCGGCTGGTCCACCTCTGCGATTGCAACTAATCAGCTTCCGTATTGTGGACTGGTAGCTCGGCGGGGATACGCCCACTGAAGGGAGGTGACAGCTCCCGTAAGGTGGAGGTAAGTCGTGCCTCGTGTAGGCCCTATCCTGTCATAGGGGCTCGCGAGAGGTATGGCTGGCGTACTCGGCCGGAGCGGTTTGCGGAAGCTCCATGTATATTCGCAACGAAGGATTTAGACCAACTCCTGCGTGACGCGGCCGGGAGGGTCCCGCGCTGCCCCGTGCGGTGCCGGACCGATGCGCTCGACACCGATTTTCTAAGTTTCTCAATTTGATCCCTTTGTCGTCGCACGCCCCAACAGAATTAGCGATTCGTGAGTTCCAACAGAAATAGATTCTGCAATTCGGGACCCCGAAGACTCTCGTAAGCGATCAAAACCCACGGTTCATTAGTACTGAACGGAAGGACTTCACGTCTCATCTGGGGATCAGGCTGTGTATGACATCTGGCCGACACCCTGAAGCCAACGGTTTGGCTGAAGAAATAGACCAGACTGTGTTCCAACTTCTCCGCGCTTTGATTATCCCGGATCAGGAAACATGGGATGAAGAGTTGTATTTCGTTAAGGGGTTGTACAACAACTTCATCCATTCTGCCACCGGCATGACACCTAACAGGCTGCATCTCGGTTGGCAAATCCGTAATCCGCTCTCCTACCTATTCCTTGAGCAGCCAGCTAGCTAAACACCCGCCCGGCTTGGCTTCAGGGCCAAGTATGACCGCTTGCTCAAGGTTGCCATTGCACCCATGACCAAGCGACAGCACGCCATGATCCATCATGCGAACCAGGGGCGCTGACCGTCGGACATTCAGGTAGGAAGCTATGTCTGGGTCAAGATGTCTGAATTCTCAGCAAAAGGAAGGGGTCTCTCGCAAACTTCTCCCACTCTACTATGGTCCGTGGGAAGTTTTGGATGTGATTGGTGAAGATCACTTTGGCCCTTCGTACGTAGTTGATGTGCCAGCCATCTGCACACATACCCCGTGTTCCACGCATCAAAACTGTACCTCCAGCGTGACACTAAGACGTTTGACTATCGCGAAGACATGATCCCTCGTGCGATCAAAGGCGCGCATGAGATAGACAGAATCAAACAGCACGTAGGGAAGGGACGCAACAGACAGTACCAGGTTCACTTCATGTATCACCCATTAGACGATCTGTACTGAATTTCCAAACAGGAACTGCTACGCAGCGCACCGCGCGTTGTCAAAGCCTACGAGCGACAAATCGCCACTAACGATGTGACTAAGATCTTTGCAAGACTCGCTGCAACAGAGTGCTCTAGGAACCTCTGAGTCTTTGTCTTGCTTGCTTACGATGTGTTTGTCGAGGACTGAGTTACTCGCTCAAAGGGACCTCGCTCTTGAGGGGGGAGTAGTGTAATGACCCGTCGAAACATGGATTGAAACACACAACTGATTTCTGAGTTTTGCCCATAGACTGAATGCCCTGCTGTGTTTCCCGCTTGCTACTAAGTTTGTGTGAGCACGCTTGCGCTGGACTGTCTGTCTGTCTGAGTGCTTGTTGGCTTGAGTGTGTGTGTGGCCCGCAAGGGCACTTGCTCGTTCATTGGGCCCTCAGGGCTGGTACTTACCTGTGGTCGTGACATTGAGGGATTGCAGCAGGAAAAACACCCAGGTAGCGGGTAGGCCGGTAACGCACCTGAAGGGGTAGATGTGCGGGTACTGGAGGCCGAGCAGAAGAAGACAAAAGTGGCATTTTTAAAGGCCCCGTAGTTGTAGGTTAGGTCTAGGTGGATACGGGTCCAACCAGTCTGGGTCTGGGGCCTGTACGGGCAATATCAAAGTCTACAATGATGTTTCCCTCCGAAAGGGAGGAGGTACCAGTTGCTTGGAAGGCCGAGCGGCCTGGAAGTCACCGCCCGAAGAGGCAAGCAGGTCGCTATATCTCCCAGCCGGGCGAAGAGCCCGGTCTCTTTTTCGGTGTGCAAGTTTGGCGACACACTGGTGGAGCGCTGGCTGGAGCAGCACTATGCTGGAGCAGCATTGCTGGGGAGGAAGGAGAAGGACATGAGGGAGGAAGAAGGAAGGGGGAGGAGCGCCAGGGGTACTTACCTGGCTATGGTGGCAGCCATCTTCATCACCTTGGTAGGCGCTGCAGCGGGGAGTCCCCAACTGGGGAGAGCCACACCAAGAAGCTTCGAGGCAGGGTCAGGCATGGCGGCCTGAGCTAGAGCAGCCATAGATGCTTTGGGTTGTCCTTTGGGCATCTGGGCAAGGCCTAGTAGTCCGCCATAGCCTCGGCCTATGAGAGTGAAGAGTGGGAGAGGCGGCCATGGCTATGGTGGACCTCAAGTGATACCTGCAGTAGAAGAGGGACTCGGACATTGATTCTAGATCAGCTATTCAACATTGTATTATTATTTCTTGTATGAATAAGAGAAGAGGGAGATAAGGAGGAGGAGATTGTTGGACGAAGAAGAAGAAGAGCCTTGTCATATGTCTATGCTGGTATACATCATCTTCTTCTTCTTTCTTACTTCTTCTTCTTCTTCTAATCCTCTCTCTTCTCTCAAGTTCATTCATTTCTTTCTGCAATTGGGCGGCATTGTACTATTTGATGGATGTGTATCTCGAAATTGGCCAGGATCATAACATATATATATATCGTCAAATAGAACTGCCCGGTAAACCGTAGGCAGAGAGGGAGAAGAGGACAACAAACGAGGGGCTGTGACAAACTGTTTCGTTGGAGTTTCATAACATATATATATATATATAAATATATTGACGATATATATATATATATATATATTGTCATAGAACTATTGACTAAGTGCGTAAGCAAGTGAAGTAGAAGAAGAAATAAGATGAGCGAAGAAAATAAAAATGAAAGGTCAGACAGGCAAAGAGACAGATAAACCAGAATGACACAAAACAGTGTCCTCTTATTCTTTGTTTCACAGTATTATTATTTCTTTCAGTGTTTTACAAAAAAAAATTACACTGAATCAAAGG